AAACAAACGTACCACATAGAATTCAAATAGGTTGACAAAAATGAAAGCGTTTAAGTAAAACAAATTATGTACGCTTTTATAATAACTAATAAATAGTACAAGGACCAAAAGTATGCAGAAATTGTATTACACTCTAAATCAAAAATTGTGTAATTGCATCTTTTAATAAATCACAATGTACAAAGTACTAATAAGTAGCTGAGGTAAAAAAAAATACAAATCCAATTTGAAATTTATATACGTTTGTGCTATTATAACATGTTAATTATATTACCTACTTGATTATTGAAAAAATCGATCTATCATATACGAATTAAATATATTAAACAAGGTAGTTARAWTAGTTTTAAATTATACTATGAATAATTAATTAATWAATTAATTTTACAATTAAAATCAGATTATTAATTTGACAAGCAAAGTGCGTATAGGTAATCAAATAAAATTGTTTTTGGAAACAAATGTCATATTGTGTAAATTAATGTTGTTGGTTTATAAGTTTCGTTACGGATGTATATAATAGCGTTAATCGTTGAAGCAAATAATCATTGAAACAAAAAACAGTGATGTTGTTTTTTATTATTAAATAAAATACCTATATAGTATTTTACGCAGTAATATAATTTAAGTTACGCGCGATGTTACAGTAACATAATTAATCGTGTATTCGTGCCAATATATAATTATTGTCAGTTGCATAACGATTTGTCATATAACAAGCCAACAAGGTGTCCTTATTGTCATTATTCATTACTCACTGGAGTACACTTGAGTTCTTCAASCAATAAGTATTTTAGTTTAAATATATTATGACACTAATTCTAGATTTATTACTATACGTGTGGTTTACACTCATGCATAAAAGTGAAGTGTGATTGCTAATTGATTTTTATCAACTTAAAAGGAGAACAGATTATAAAAAAAAGGTATTTCACTTTTATGTGTTACTTACCTCTTGTGATTTTTTAAATAAGACACATTTCATAATATTTATATGATAATTTCCAATTTTTACAGTATTCAAGTACCTATATAATATTTATATCAGATATACTTATCATAAACGAAAAAGTTCGAGATTAGAAACAAATTCTTAGTTTTTTAAAAATAATTTCAAGCTTGTAATTTATAGTTTCTTTATTATATATAAATAAAGTGTAAATAGTATTGTTTAGTACGTTGCATATTGTACTTCGTTATGCTGTTTGTAAATTTTTTTATGTTGTAGCAAAACAATGTAAATTAACTATGATTTTACATATTTTTGAAAATACTGAAGATGGTATATTATAATTTATATATATATATATATATATATAATTATTATTATTAAATCAGGTATGATTTTTATACGATTAATATAAAAATAACTGCACTTTCTTCTTAAATCGTGTCATATAAATTACTATTGGACATAAATAGTACTTGATAGGTTAGGTTATAGGTATACATAGAGTACTTGATATCTTTGTGGATTTTACTTAATTTATAGAAAATAGAATTGTACATTTGTATCCTACATGTAACATAATATTACAATGGCTTCGCAACTACCAGTGTGGGAAGTGTGTATCGTAATTTGGCCCCAGCCCATTCAATTTTACACCCCTATAAAGATCCACCAAAAATAATTATCATAGTTAAAAGAAAATAAATTTCAAATACAAAATTCTTACAAAATAATATTTCTTTGAAAAAAAATATAACACCTTCAGTTATAATTTTACAAATATAGATAAGAATTAAGCATAACATTGCATAAAGAATGTAGGTATATTATTTTATATATTATATATACATTACACAATATACAATATACCATATGAGGTCAAAATTAATTATATGTTTTGAAACCAATGAAGTGGTAAAATAAATATGGCTATGCCTATTTATAATTATTCCGTTAATCGTTATTATTTAAGTTAGGTATTACAATATTTGTTAACAACTGAAAATATAGAAAAAAAAGCAAAATCAATTTATTGTTGCTACTTCTTGTCTGTGTATAACTATCGATTGATGTGACGATGTGACGCGAATGTCACAATTCAGAAGATTATTTWACACTTATTGGGACTACCAGTAACCAGTATACGAGTAGATCATATCATTTTAACTTTTAAGTACCAGACATTTAATACAAACTTCAAAATATACAATATATRAAATTGATTCCACTATGTTGCGTGTTAAATAGTCCGTTAAAAACAGTTCTGGGGGTATAATAATTATTATTTGAACAAAAATTATCCGTTTACAAAACAAAACGGTTAAATTAAATTTCTTGTGCGTAAAGTGTTACGGAATCAAAGAAAAAAAATGAGAGTATTTGACAATATTAAGAGATTTGTCACGTTTACCAGCCATATACCACTAAGGTATAAAATAATATTACATGTTATATTGTGACTAAACGAGTAGGTAGGGGGTAAATATTAAATATTTAGCCAAGTCTTGTGTAAAACGATTAACCGCATCGACACAAAGCCGTCCGGTCGTTTATAACAATTATTACAACTTTCTAACTATAACAATTGTAGTACGCCCGCCGAATATTGTATTGTATGCACTCACCGTAATATTATTATTTATTATATACCTGGTGCTTGATGGTAAAATCTCATATCAAAACACGGTGGAAATGCTGCAGACCAAAGATCGTTACGATTTTTTGCGGGATTAGAAAAAATATAACCGGTACATTTAGTAATAAATATTAATAACAATATATAGACGTCACGTCTTATTGGTTTCAGTTGATGGTGGGGGGGGGTTGTAGGGGGTATCATCACATTGTCTGTTCAGCGTTCACGACAATCGATTGTATAGCAAGTGTCCACTAAAACACCTACCTATATTATTACCGATAACAACATGCACGTCATATTATTTGCAGCAGTGCAGGCCATTTACCTGTTGCTGATTTTCTGTTATAAAACTGCGGTCGTGTATTATRAATTTCAATCATGTTAACGTAGCTTCACTTCCTACAGATTATTGTACACAGTTATGTAGGTACCGGTAATCTCACCATTTTACCAATAACTTATACCGCATTTACATCGTGTATTACGTATTATTATCATCTTCATAATCATCGTTACCTATTCACTATAATATTATGACGGCATCCGACTGCTACCCAGTGAGTTGTTCGAACAAATGAGAATCCACGCACGTAATATTTATATTATTATTATAATAATATTATTCTTATACACCAATATGATAATTAGGAAGAATTTTTCACGCGAGCGTCTAAAAGTAAAAGTATACAAAATAACATGTAGGTTAGGTTTTATATTAATATTATAAAACCCAACGGTGTGTATTTTCTTTTGAGATATAATAAATTGGCGGAACTCAACGGAAGCTTCTCATTTCGTGTGAACCTTGGTGCAACATGCCATTAACACATAAGTTAATAATATGTAGTATTGTAGATACTGTGCAGGATTGTAGGTGTTGTTTGTGGATTCTCGAGTTCCTTCAAAGATTAATTATTAATACACGTGGACGTTGTATATAAAATATTTTAATATAATAAAATAAACATAATATAGTAGTGACGAGTTACTCTCCTTTGAAAATGCTGCGTTGTGTAACGATATTTTTTAATAGGTAACATGCATAGTGCACATGTAAAAKGTTCCGATTAAATAACCACTGTTGAATAATATACTGGCACTTGAAAATTGACAATAATGATCCTTAGAATAATTATATGCTCTCGGACATAAATGATTTTCTCGAAATGTGATTATACGATTTGTGTGGTGGGGGTTATTACGCGTGGCCGTGGTTAAAGACGAAATAAATGGATATCCGAAAGTGAAGAACAGTGGTGGAAGTATCATCTTTTACTCAAACGTGTTCGTAGAAATTATCTCCGAGTGTAAATCGATTACATAAAAATCGAAAAATAAAAATCAATTATGCGTATCGGGAAGGAAGTTGCAACTACGACGTAGCAATAGGATAAGACGAAAATATTATCACGACAACGACAGCAGACGCTTTCACTTTTCACTATAAACAGCATCGGATATATTTAATAATATCATAACGTCATATAACCAAGCATCAATAATATGGTAATTAATCGATTCTTAAAGGCCAACGCAACTAAGACGATACTGCTGCTAGGTTTAGAACAAAATTCAGCGTAGAGTAAATGTAGGTAGGTACATAACTAGGTGTAAATCTTATTTACAGATGTATAACTAGTATTAAATGTATATACGTAATGTAATATAATGCAATCATAACTAATTATTATCATTGAAAATTGTAATTTTTTGTGTTATCATTAAAGTTTAGGAATATGTATAACAAGTACAGAACAGCTCACAGAATGGTTGATGGCCCACCTGGTTCACCTGGCCCACCCCGCTCCCATGCGCATCGTCTACGGTAATGTATATCTATTCGGTTTATCATTTATTTAGGACGTTAACGTTTATTTTATGTAAACGGATTGAGTACATATAAATACAATCAGTATTACTACTTCAGATACTGCACTATTGCAGTAGAAATATTTAACGCAGCATTTTATTATAACATTATTATTGATTAAGTACTTAAGTATTAGTATAGTTTCAAAAATCAATTTATAATTTATGAAGTAGTATAATACGTATGTACACAATAATTTTTTAACTCTAATGTATGATGTGTAGATACTAGATATAACCATCATGCAAGTATAAAGTAAATCGTCAACGGTGACTGTGTATAAAAGAACTGCTTTTTTCTARACACGATGATTTCTGAATATATAATTATTAGAATTTATTATTAGTTAAATAATTTTATATCATTATGGCTATTGACTAATTACTACAATAATACATTTAAAGTTTTCGGATATCACTGCTCAGTGATCCTGAGTGTATATAGGTATTAATTTTAACTCTGCTTTTGAGGAATATCATTATTTTTTTTTTTTACTATTAAGTGTTATTGACTTGTTATTGTATTGAATTCACTAAACTCACCATATTTCACCGGCCGATTTGCAAAGGAGCTTCACGCAGTCCAGACATCCCCTGGCCGACGCGTAGTGCAGTGCCAGAGCACCGTTGTTGGACCTTTCCAGCACCGGCATGTCTGCTTCCCACAACAGCCACCTGACCACGTTCACTCGACCATATCTGAACAAGAGAGAGAAAGATTTAAAATAATAATACATATGTAATATTATGCATTTAAAACGTTCGCATTACGCAGCTGACAGCAGTAGGTAAACATAATTATTGAATAATCAAAGTTAATTATTGTTTTTATTATTATACTGACTAATGAAAGTTAATCACGTCATACTCGTAACAATTAAGCAATCAACCATAGAGAAAACAAAGATTTTTGGATTGGCCAGTCATACACGATGTGTTTTTATTACAAACAACAACAATACAAATAATAATTATTACTATTGGATATACCTACCTGTATTATTATTTATGATTGTATATTTATGTCTTTTACATTAACTATGTACACTGAACAAGAATGTTTAACAATCAATTCTTGTTTATATTACTTATCATATTATTCACTTTCAACATGATATGTGCAATGTAAGCAGATTTATTTATCAATAATATTCATACCATTTATTTAATATGMGTTATATATCCCACATAATATTATGTGTAGTCACTACCTAGTATAATAAAATTATATTATTCTATATAGCAAAATGATTTAAAAAAATCATATAAGATATATTTTAATTGATAAGACAACACACTCAAAAATAGATTACTTATTTTACGTTAACATTTTAAGTTAAAATTTTGATGGTGATATAGAATACTTAAAAAAAAATGTCGAGTTTATTTATTGTGTTCTAATTCAAAAAAATATTACCAGTAGTAGCTTTTAACTATTTGGTAGCTACTACATTTTATATTATTATTTACCTACTAATTACTATGATTTTCTAAATATATAGATTAATTTAAAGCTATTATATGTAACTAATATTTATCATTGAATTTAATTTTAATTCAATCTTTTTTTTTTTATTGATCACAAAAAAGCATTGACAGCAAAGACCATTAGTTACAGAAAGTTAAAAGATATGCATGAATAAGTGTTTACAATGATATTTAATAAGATGAGTTATAAATAAAATGGGATGTACATTTTTTATATATATACGATTGTACAATTTGGAGTGTTTTATAAAATCCAATAAATCTGAGTTATTTTTAGGATTGGGACCGAGTGCGGAGTGCAGGTTGTATGATATCCTGTGTTTAACTCGTTCTTGGTTGCACAATAAACAGTCGACAATTATGTGTTTGGCTGAATTCAATCTTTATTAATAATACTAGAGCGACTTTTTTTATTTTTCATATTTTTTCTATGAAGTACACCAATTAATGTTTTAAAATCTTATATGTTTGTTTCAAAAATGTAAATATTGATTTTGTTATATATCTAAAAGGGAAACAAAATACCCAATAAACAGTCAATGCCTATGTTCAAAATAAGATAATTCATTCAAATCATTTTACGGAAAGGAAATTGGATATAATATTAAGTAGGAAGTCAAAGTTATATAAGGCTTAATTCCAAGCCAGTAACTCAAATACTAGATTCAAAGAATTTTAGTTAATTTGAACTGAGTGACATTTATTTGTTACACAAATAAATTACGACGTACCAACAATTTCCAAAAATAAACATGTAATATGCATTACCTTTAACATATTAATTTATTAAATATTATACTACATCATTTAATTGTGCCATGAAATAACAAATAGTTTATTTAAAAAAAAGCATATTTGTTGTTTATCACTTAAAATAATTTAATAAATATATTTCATCAATATAATAGTTTTTTAGGTATACACTAGAGTACTAAAAAATTTTAGTTAGTGAACTAATTAAATTTTTTTTATCAAGAAATCCTGGTATGTAGGTAGTTAGTTTCTTTTAAAACACGAAGTAGTTATTTTAGATTGTTTATTATTTTTTTATAGATAAAATCACAAATTAATTTAAGAACAACTTTCCTAGTTGATTTATAGTAAATGGTAACCCTTGGAATCCGTAATCACTTTATAGTTATGTCGGTTTAGTTACCATTTCAAGGCTGTAATTATTATATTATGTCGTTAATATTTTAAACGTTTACCTTAATATGTGTTAGTTATTACTTATTTGTATCATTTAGTTACACATTTGTATCATGATGTATACTTTATTAAATAATTATAATTTATTATATATTGTTAAAAATTATTATTTTAATTTAAAGAGGTAAATTCACACCAAAAAAATATTTGAAAGACAAAAATGTTAACCAAATTAAATAAACATAAATTGCATATAACAGTAACTTTTAAAACAGTAGGAAACTATAAAATCCATGATATMAAATGTGATGGATCAAATGTCATCATGATAACAAAGTTAATCATAGAAGGTTGTCACGGCCTTTAACTATCAGTTAACATCTTCCAAATAATACAGAAAATATGATGTTCAACCATTGTAGTTCAACCACAGGCATTGCTACTCAAAGAGAGATAAAAACTATCGAATTCCGAATAAGTTATGTTTCTTTTTTTAACTAGATTTTTTTATAGTATCGTTTGAACATTTTACTTTTTCAAATGTTATAACCTGCAAATGTGTATGTATTTTTATTAACAAAAGTTATTATACATTATTGTAAAACAATTTTAAATAGTGGTACAAAAGKTGATGAAAGCTTATCGAGAGTGTTCATAATGCTATAATACAAAATTATTTACAATTTTCACATGTAAATATGTGTGAATTTTCATACCAGACATTAGAAATATTAAAATAATAATAATAATATCCAAGTAGGTAAACCACTATAACTTTAACAATAATTCTCATGTAATATTAACAAATAATTTGATATATATTCAGATACTATAATATGAGTACTAACATACTTATAGTGTATGTACCTATATAAAAAAAACTTATAATAATAATGTATGATAACACACTTTCATTCAGGTTGAATTATATTAGCCCCTATATATAATATCATTATATATACTACATAATATATTATCAACACAATATAGGTAAACGGTTGAATGCTTACATAAAAAAAAATAAGGCTAACATTTCAATTAGTTATTCTGTGTAATTTAGTTTGATTAACACGCTTTATTTATAGATGCTTTATAGGTATATGTAACTATGTACTAACTAATAAACAATTCATTTTTATTTTTATTTTCATTCTATCAGATATGCGTTATAATTTTATATGATTAGATGAATTTGAAAAACAAAAAAATAAAGAACACTTTAATTACAGTTGTTTACTTTTTAAATATTAGCGATTTCAAATGTTTTCCATTTTTGGCGTTTAAATTATTATTATTCATGTTTTGCCAGTCATACACTGATACACTGTTTTGCTGGTGTGTTTATCGTCATMCTCAACAAAGAGGGACGTAACTCAATGTAATGAATTATTATTTTCAGTTTGGTATTACCTACTGTTTTTCTGTGTTACTAACAAAGACAGCAGTAACTCAATCTTATTGTATATATATATATATATATAACGTAGTGGTTGATTTAATGATATATGACACAATCAACTTCGTTGGACATCCAGAAAAGTAGTAACAGCAAATCGAAAAAATTCACGCAACTGTGTCACATTTTTTTTTTTTATATTTTGTAAATTTCAATATTTATCAATGTTAATATTTACAAAATTTATATTTGGAAATTCAGTTTGCGTTCTCCTGGTGTTCGACGAATACGGCAATATAAAATGCGCGCCGGTTAATGGCATTACGCGTGGTGAACGGCACGGCGCAGTGGAAGTGAAGTCTGCAGTGGCGTCAGTAGCGACGGTCAAAATTCCATAATAATACTATGGTGTATAAAATAAAATTAAACTTTTGGTGTTTGTCGCACCGGGGTCAAATGCTTAGGAAGCGTGATCCGTCAGTGCGCACAAACCATGACCGAACCAGTGGTTTATTTGTTCCGGCAGGTGAAGTATACTCATTTATTATAATATATATAATATACATATACCTATGTAGCACTAGCAAGTTATAATAATGAAAATTATGATGATGATGATAATAACATAAAATACATATATTATCATGATTAGTAACGACTTAACTGTTTTTGCCAAACAGAGCACAAACGTTGGCAAGCATGTGCGAGTGGAAACATTATTAGACGTACTGTTGTTTTATATAAATCTTTTATTCCCGTGTAACACGATAGTAATAATATTGTCATTGACGATATTTATGTAAAATTGCGCGTACCTCCGCAGGATGAGTAGTGCCATAATGACTACTGAGTAAGGTTCACTGCGTTTAAGCCGAATTTTTCTTGATGATATATGCTGAGTACATATTTGGCATATTTTAATTTATCCTCAAAATAATGTTCGATCTTAATAATTTAAAAATTTAACTTAAATATAAATATGTCATTACAAGAAATTTATCTACATCAGTGCGCCCCGTGTTTTAACGTTAAGGCATTTGGTGGTTTTTCGATATGGTGTAAGATAATTTAACGTATGGCTACAAACTGATACACCACAAAGTGACCAAGTTCTTAATGCTTTTAGAGAGATGAGGTATTACAGGAATGCAATTTCTCTAGTTGCTAGTAGTTTATCATGGAAAGTAAAATTTTGATATTTGCGTTTATAATATTGTATATTTGTATTCCATTGGAAAATCTTTTTTAAATAATTTCGTTATTATGCAGAAACACTATAAATAACGGAAAAACACCATGTCTAGAGTGCTGCGATCRTGTTTCTCGATACTAATATGTTGACATTTACAAGTATGGAAGGAAAATAAAAGGGCGCCGGAGTGTCTCTAAAAACTTCGGTCAATATTTCWAATATAAGACATTATTATTAAATAAAATAAAAACATATAAATATAAAATTTAAATAAGTTATTTAATTTTATTATATTATAATATTTTATTGTTATTGACTAATTTACAGTTGAACGTACGAACATTAAATTAATGTAATATGCTGAGGTACAGAATATAAAAACAGGAATCGTGAGCGTACAAAGAACAAGAGCCGTTCGTGGCTAACTGCAGTCTGCAGAAAGCGAAATTGTATACACTTTAACTACTGCAACATTGTTTGAAATTGAAGTTTTGACTATAGAGTATAGATAGCTGAACACAGTTTTTATACATAGAAACTCCAAAATTCTCACCACCGAGGCTAACAAAAATACAAAATATCACTGCATTAAAACTTTTTKGATTATTTTGTCTCGACTAAAACGTGGTATTATGGTTGAGAAGAACGATTCTTGTGTTACGCCTTACGCGTTTTCATAAAAATTGAATTATATTTAGGCGACTAAAAATATACCTACCACTAAATTTTCTCATGTTTTATTCATTTTAAATCCGTCTGGTGATGTGTGTTGATACCTACAGTAGTTATAGTTGTAGTATTTATACTATAGTTAGGTAGGTACTTAATAAGCTAATAAAATATGAACGAGTGAAGTCCAATGTCCAAACGAAATATTATTATATATAGCTATAGTAAGATATAAGTATAAAAACTAGTATTTGTGGTCAGCTGTTTTACACAGAAAGAGTGGAAAGTTACAAATCCACTTTCGTTGGGTTGTAATTTCKAATGTCGTAAAACGTTTTAATGTTATTGTAATTGGCGGGCGCGGGGAACATTCCCGTTAGAACGGTGCAATTAAATTATAGGTAAATCGATTTATGGTATGATTTACACGACAAAAACGCAAATTGATATAACGTGAATACAGAATACTATGAAAAGAAGGTCATTACGGARACGAAAATCTATCAATATAAAATACATAGKTGGTCTSCTATARTATATAGCCGGATGTCGGAAAATTATGATATGACATTGGTTGATATAAGTGAAAATAACAATACAATCAATGTCGAATCCAAACATGAAGATTAAGGGTATTGAATCTTTTAAACCGTGAAAAACTAAAACACTGTTTATAACATTTGATGTAGGTACTTGAATACAGAGTAAGCACTCCTATAATAATTATTTTTTAAATATTAACACAATTTCATCTATTATACAAAGGAATAATATTTAATTMATATACATCCAGTATTTGTAATTAGAAATTGTTTTGGATTAACTATTGTAAATACTAAGACATAATATATCAAAATATCAATAAAAATATTATGCAAATGCTTAACGCGTTCTGATGTTTAGTGTGATCATCGCTGAAAGGATAATGGTAGATGTCTATCGTTCCGAAGTTAAATCCTTATGTATATCACATAGATACAAAAAATGCGTTTTTATAAAACTATTTCATAGTATGCACTATATTCTACACAGTGGCGYAACTTGATAATAAGGGGCCCATGTGAAAATAACCAGAATGGGGCCCTTACATGCAAATAAAAATGAAAAACAGTCGATATGTCTAATTAAAATTAGAATTATTGTTTTCTCACATGCCATAGTTGATAATTATTGGCTAGATTAATTTTTCTATAAAATCTAACACAAATTAACTCTTCTTGTTTTTACGTCAGCAAGATCATTAACCATTTGGTTTKTATCCAATTTAGCTCTTACTAAAGGTTATATTATAAGACTATAAGAGATATCGAGGATCGTGGCCCTCCGTGAATCGCACACCCTATACACTCCTGATAAGCGATAATCGCGCCACTGATTCTACAAGCATATCGCACAATATTATAATTTATAGGTATATAATCTGTGCGCTCTGGCGTACCTCAGGTTTTCCACTTTTACGCGACACGATTCAGAAAGCACGTGCCGGTGTTTCGTGACGACTTCGAMGGTCCGACGGCGTATGTGACGAGACTGTTGCTCGCGGCGACGTTGGTCGTCGTCGTCTTCGTTTTTGTCGTAGATGGGATTCAAGCTGTCTTGGAACTCTTCTT